TTTTATATGCCAGATTGCATTCTTACCTGGCATGTAACACTTATATGCTAGATGACTTTGTTATCTGTCATGAAGCTTTTATGGCCAAATGGCATTCTTACCTGGCATGTAACACTTATATGCTAGATGACTTTGTTATCTGTCATAAAGCTTTTATATGCCAAATGGCATTCTTACCTGGCATATAACACTTGTTTGCTAGATAACTTTCTTATTTGCCATACAACTTTTATATGCTAGTTGGCATTCTTATGTGGCATGTAATGTTTATATGCCAGATGACTTCCTTATCTGCCATATAGCTTTTAAACGCGCGACAGCTTTGAATAACTGGACAACTTAGAGGGTGCATGTGCCATTAGTAAAATTGTAAGTAAAGTAGATAAAGGATGATCGCAGATTTAGTTAAAAAATGTGAATGCATGTGCGCACGAAGCCAGGGCACCGACCTTGGCTTTCTTCTGTGCTTTCCACAGTTCGACTGCCTTCCTGTGCTCCTTGAGCTGAGATTCGTACACCACTGCATGCTCCTCCTCCGTCTCATCAACTTCATCCTCAATCTCCTGATTCCACAGTCGCTCATCTTCTTCCTTGTTGGACACTTGCCTGAAGATCGTAATAGGAAAAATCACTGTTACACACTGTTACCGAAATCTTGCATCTTATATTGTACAAAATTGTTCTAAAATGCTGATCACAGACAATAAAGCAAATGTTCATTTGACTATTACAGAGTTTTCTTTGATTATCTAATTTGTCACATTTAATGAAGAAATAATAATTTAATATAATGACAATAAATCCCAGCATTTGTAATGGCACATGTTTAAACCCCCTTAGCAAATCTAAATTTGCGATTTCCCACTGAAACCACATCAGCCACCATGTCGGCGCATAACGCGACATGCTCTGCATCTTTCCACCACTTACTTGTGAATGAGCAGTCGCACGCTGGTGTTCGTGTAACCCTGAAACTCCCTCAGACTCTTGATCTTCTTCCACGTCTTGATGGTGGACTTCAGTAGCTGTCGATCCTTGGCGAGCTCCGCATCTCTCAACACTCTCGTTTGTCTGCAACGACGATGAGTAAAAACCCAAGTGAGAACTCTCCAACTGCGCAACACGGTATAAGAAAACATCCACAAGCGAGAAACGAAAACGAGCCGCGACAACAGACATGCACGCACACACGCACGCGCGCACACACACGCGCACACACATACGCACGCGCGCGCGCACACACACACGCACGCGCGCGCACACACACACGCGCGTAATCGTGGCAACAGCTATCCTTGGACAGCACACGGTTGGCAGCAGTGCAAGCGTACCCACGGGTACTCAGAGCGTAGGATGCACGACGATTGCCTGACAACCCGAAAAGGAGTTTCGCAAATTCACCGTATATCGAGGGTGTAGTCGCTCAGCCTCTGCCGGGGTTCCTCCAGGTCCGCCTGGCCCTGCTGCTCTTCCGCACGCCGCACAATCCCCTTCAAGTGATCTGCAGCCGTCTTCAGCGCTTGCAGCTGCAAGGAGCACCCTACTGCGTTTAAACTCCTTCTTTTACCGGGAACTTGGCAGTTTGACGTAAGGTTCAGAATTTGTTGTGGTCGCACGACTTTATTGGATAATATTACGGATGATTGGAACAGTATATGCATACGACCATAGACCAGTACTGGTGGCAGTAGATACAAGAACGTAAATGGCTGGTTCGGGGTGACAGAATGATGGTCATGTATGTACACAAAATTGGTATTCTTTACCTCTCTCTCTCTCTCTCTCTGTTCTCTCTCCCTCTCTATCTCTCTCCCACTCCTCTCCCTCTCACTATGATTCCTTCTCCAATCCCTCTCTCTTTCCCTCTCTCTGCCTCCCCTCGCTCCCTTTCTGCCTCCCCACCTCTCTATCTCTGTCTTTGTCTGTCTTTCTTTCTCACTCTCTCTCTGTCCCTTTCTCTTTCCCCCTGCTCTCTGTCCCACTCTCTCGCCGCCTCTTTCCATCGCAGCCCTGACGTACCTTATCGGTGAGGAACACTGCGGCATTCTTCTCTCGCCGGCAGCAGAAGTCCTCATGCATCTGTGCGAGGCGGGTTGCGAGCACGTGCTCCCTGCTGAAGAGCGGGTGATGCGAGAACGCGAGCACGGACACGTTCACGTTCAGCTGGTAGCGCCCCCTGTTGTCCGCGCTGCCGTCGATGTAGCGACTATCAAACTCCCGGCTCATGGCCTGCGGACAAACAATGGGACAGCTTCGCGACTCTCTCATGACACATCTCGCGCGAAAACGTTTTTTTTGCGAATTGGATTCAGATTTCGTAACAGACCAACCCAAGTGACTCTCGCACCTTTCTGTACTCCAAGTTGAGATCAGCCTCCTCATCTTCAGGAACAGGAGGCCTGCACGGTGCTGGCTTCAGAGGGTCAGGCAGAGCCTTGAGCCAGCCGTCATCACCAAACCACTTGCCTCCCTAAAACCAAAAAAGATTAACGATGTTCGAACAAAGAAGTAGTGTAGTGAATGTGACTATTAGTGAAAGGCACTTATTGCTATTATATCTCATATAATTCCCGTTTAATATCCTTTTAAACCCACCTTTTAACCCATCTACCAGAATATTTATAATGTATTATAATGTAATGTAAAGTAATGTAATATAATATAAAATAATATAGTATAATATAACATGATATGATGTATAATATTATATAAACAAGTGCCGCAGAGCGACAGCGCTCAACTGACGTGTACTGTGGCCGGGTATTCTTCTGATAAACTCACTGGCAACTGAATCAAGTGCGCCCTCCCGCCACCGCGTTGATAGGCTTTGCTATACCGATAGTACAGTAATAAAGATATAGCTGTGTAACTTTAATGACTTCGCTATGTTAACGTTATCATGGATATGCGCCGAGCGCGAGCGTAGTAGTGGTGTTGGGAGGGGGGGGGGGCTCTAATAGCAAAACGCAGTTCAGTTGGCTTTTGTTAACAGTCAACAAATCCATGTTTAACCCTCCTCTTGAGGGTCAAAAGGTTATCAGACACTTACTCTTCGCACGTCAGCGGAAAGTAGATTTCACGGTCAATAAAGTGATAAAAATGGTAGGTCAGCGCTGAAACAAAAAAGTTTTGCACTCGGTCCGTTAGACCATGTCCTCAGAAGATGTCTGATATCTGACCTTTCCCCCCTGACCTTTGACCTGTGACCTCTAATTTCGCGCTGGTGATGGGTTTCCTCCCCATCACACTATACATCGAATATTAAGAGCGTAGGTCGAGCCGTTGAGATTTGTGCCGCAATTCCGTATTTCCTCCTATACATTAAGTTAAAGGGGAAATATTCCCCCTCCGTTTACACATCTTGACCATTGACCCTTGACCCCCCAAATTTGTCATCCTGAGTCCTTTTCACGACGCCCCCCCCCCGACGTCCCAAATATCGTGACCGTACATCGAGCGGTTAAGATTTGTGCCCAACTGTTGACTCACAGACGGACGCACGCACGCACGATCATGCGATTCTACAAGCTGCATCTGACTACGTCAGAGGAGCTAATAAATATACCCTTTTAAATCCTATTTTAACATCCCTTTAACTGATCTTAACTGTGTTTTAGTAATGTCAGCAAAGTGTAAGCAACTCAGAAGAGACTGACATCAGGTAAGGTTATGTCTTTACTTATCCGCATCTCTTATATATACCACTAACGATCTCTTACCCGGTTGCGTTCATGCAAGAGTCTATCTTCCATGAGATTCATGTTGATCTGGTTGACAGGCGGTCTCTCTCCGACGTACAACCCCTCCTCCTCTAGATTCCTCACCTCCGACTCATCCGGTATCTTAAGTCTCGTCGGAACTATAAACGCAGACAACTATTTAAGAACTAGAACATTCTAAAATTTTCTTCTGTCATGCGAAAAATAGTAATTACAATAGTCATGAAATCGACAAGTAAAAAGCACGCTATTTAAAATAAATAAACTTTGTTAAATATAGTGTACTTGTCATCGTGGAAGGAGTGAAGTAAAAAGCCTGCTCTCGATCCACTCGAGTTCTGTAGGGGATGTACTCGGCTGGTGCTGCCCTCTGTGGCTGCCAATCCTCACTATCCGTGAAATCTTCGATGAGTAGCTTTGTTTCATCTAGAAATTGAAAGAGGTTTTAAATTGCCATTCATCAATGGTTATGAAACATAAAAAATCTGTGATGAAATGCCGTAAAACAAAGAGCACCTGTAGTGTCCTCCACTTGTGGTTCTTCTTCCACTTTCGCTTTCTCCTCCTCTTCAGTTTGTATTTCCTCTCCACTTTTCTACAGGTCACAATAACAAAATTTTTCAATGCCTCAAGGTAAAAATCAGGACATTTCACATATGTTAAATTGAAACGTGGAGAGATTTATCAGGGTATATGCAGCAGTGCCGTAGTCGAGTCCCCCCCCACCACCAGTCCGAGTCCAAAGTCCACGCCACCGAGTCCCACGAGTCCACCACCACCCGAAGTCTGCAGGTCCGAGTCCAGTTTTGATAGAAAAAGGGGGGCAGACCGACAAGGCCGCTCACTTCTATGTATGTGTTTGTTCAAAAATGGGGGCTATCTCTTGCCCCTGGATCTGTCACTTGTTTGTATTAGGTAGGAGTTTTAGTTTTAAATTCTTGTAAACTGCGTGTTTACAATATGTACAGTTATGTACTATGTAGTGGCCTCGAGCCCGCCTCGACCCGAGTCCTCGAGTCCGAGTCCGAGTCTGAGTCATTGCACTCCGAGGCCGAGACCAAAGAAACCGGCCTCGAGGCCAAGACCAGCCTCGAGTCCTACAACACTGATATGCAGTCATGCACATGTTTCAATGCCATGATGTAAAAATCAGGACATTTCACATATGTTCGATTAAAACATGCAGAGATTTATCGGGGTATACACAGTCAAATTTCTGCCCAGTGTGATATTTCACCCGTACCCCTGCCTGTGCTTCATCACTGGTGGAAGGTTCTGGATGGCTAGCTGCTGAAGGCTTTCGTTGCGGGGCGGTTGTCGTCATTTCGACAGCTTCCGGCTCCCAGACACGTGTGAAGAAGTCGTATGCTTCTTCTGTTGTCACCTGCGCCTGTGTTAAACACAACAGACCAAACGGTTAACTAATATTTGACCAGGAGCAGTGGTAAACTATCTATCACCTTGCTGTATTTTTTCTCTTCCACTTATTTGACTCACACAAGAAAATAAATGCCGTTATGATGTCACTCCCGTGTACGAAACGTTTATAATACAATCGATTCTACAGCAGACATATCATATTTATAACTCAACCGTGTGTTTAACAAGAAGCTGTTAGTATCTGCGAATCACGCCTATCAGGCGTGCATTGGCGTCACCTTGGCAACACTGGCTGAAGCAGACGTCTTCCATCGCTCTCTCAGCCTTTGCGATTTCTCTAACAGTTGTGTCTCCTCCTCGTCCCTGCTCTGCCCCTATAAGACAGCCACATAGACGATAACCACATACCGGGTGAAGGCTCACGGCCGTCGAAACAAAAACTATTAAACACCGTACAGACCCTTTTTCTGTGACCACTGACGTCTCCATAAGATGATTTGGACATTTATTTTGCAAAGGCAGCCAACTTCTAGAAGCACTATGTTTTGGTATGCGCACACGGAATTAGTAGGATTTCAGGAGAATCGCTTGAAAATATAAGATTTTGGGATGATTATGGCATAGAGGACCACTCGGGGACAAAACAACCGACAAGCAAGATTTCTAGAAAAGGGTTAGCAAGTAAAGGGCTACAGACACAAACGTACAGCATGCCAAACCCTGGCTACATTACAACACTACCACAGCATTTTGGGGAAAAAACTTGTTCAGTAAGTGTAATAGGTAGATAGATAGATCCTCACATTGAAAATTCAATATCTGTACAGAAACACGATACACCGATCTCTGTGGCACATGCAACCCGGCATAGCAGCGCCACTAAATATTCTCAAATTCAATTGCTCACAGGTTCGGTTGCGTCAAATCGCGTGGATATCTCAGCCCAGTCCTTTCTTCTCAGTCGTCTTCCCGGCTCAGTCTGCGCTGCAGCTTGCTCCTTGTTTTTTTACACCAACAATAAAATAATCATTACATTCACCATTCTACACTTTCACATTGTCCTTTTCGAACTATTTCTCGAAAGCAATATAAATACCAACGTCTTTACCTTTCCACACCCACGCGACTAGGTTAAGAATAACTATGCAATAATCATTAGCTATTGGATAGGTTTACCGTAAATTCTGGTAATAAGTTATGCGCGCACAACCAAATCGTAGCAAACAAAATAACTCACCTGCTTTGATTTGAGTCTAGCTTGCATTCGTTCTCGTATGGACATGCCAGCAGCAGCAGGACTTCTACCGATAGAACTTGCCGACGTTACGCTGCCCTCTATAAATACAATATATGATTCTTCCATAACAGTTTTATGAGGTGTGCATAGCACGCAGGGTGTGAAATTCACGCGAGTCCGGAGTCAAATACTCCCTGATTTATTGTCGGACTCCCTGATTTGACATATGCAGGAGTCCGTGTAGATCCATGAAAATTCTGCTATATACTAACTAGTTTGTTCCAGAGCACGACCTCGCGGAATTACCGTATTTTTTCAGCAAATGTTCAAAGAAAATTTGGCAGACGTGCAACCGCATGAATCTTCAAAATAAGCACATGCGTTATTGTTAATATCTTTAGTTTTGAACTTCAGACTGCGGTCTCCCTTATTTTGCTGCGGACTCCCTCCCTCTTTTTGAGGGCAGGGAGTCAGTTGGACTCCCTTGTTCAAAACTTAATTTCTACCCCTGGCATGCCAACCGTCATTAACATCGGCATGCTAGCTATCCGACATTAAGTAGACGTGACAACAAACACTTTTTGGTGTTGCATAATAAAGTCATTCATGCACATTGTATAAACTACAAACTATTTTCACTTTGATATGCACTGCACATCAAGGGCGTAGCCAGGAATTTGGATTGGGGGGGGGGTCCTCGAGCGAGTAACAAAGGGGTCTGAATTCTTATTTTTTAGTTAAATGTAACAAGTGCCGCAGAGCGACAGCGCTTATCTAACGTCTACTGCGGTGACTCTGTGGTGGAGTGGTGGGATTCTAGTAAACCCTGTTAGTCCCAAATGTGTTCACATAC